GCAACGCCGGCATGTTTCTAACGTCGAAACATCTCCAGACATGGAACCGGACCCGTGTCTGGTAGTTTCCGGACGTCTGGAATTCCGGACATTTCTGGACCTCCGGACATCGGGGATCCGGACGGTCCGGATGTCTGGACAGGTCCGGAAAAGTCTGGACCATTAAAAAAAAAAAAAAAAAAATCTGAAAAACAAATATGCTATGCAGAATAACAATGCAAACCACTTTTGCCTCAGAGTCATGTCAGAATTCCTAACCAAACTTACAAGTCAAAAACTATAAGAAAGCTTCAAAAAAGACTTAAAAACTAATAAGAGGTAATGAATTATTAATAATTAAAAAATTGGGGTTGTCTAATAAATTATTATAGAGAGAGAGCATGTCGGGACCTCCCAAAAAAACATAAACGGGCCTAAACCCCCCCCAAAACAATTTTGGGGGCTTGGCTCCTCAATGGGGAAGGGTCCTGGACCGTTTTTTTTTTTCCTCAAATTTTGGCAGATCCGGACTTTCCAGACCGGACATCTGGAGTCCGGACTGAATGCGGACCGTCTGGTCGGCGGTCCAGACGTCCGGATCGTAGCCATGGCTCAAACTTTAAACCTATGTTACCAACCAGGCCTCCTGGGTCACCTTCGTCGCCCGGGCGGCCCAGCAGAGCAAGGGCCAGGGAATGTCCCTGAAAAAAAAAAAAAAAAAAAAAAAAAAACTCCAGGAAGACTATTGTGCAGAAAACTTAACAGCATTTGCCTCAGGGTTACATAGAAATTCTTTGCCAAATTATATAGGAGGGAACTTAAATGAAGTCCGTAGCTGGCTCTATTTAATGCCAACTAGAAATGCGAGCTTGTAGGCGCAGCGCGACCGAGAGCGCCGCGCCGCTCCGCTATCGACATGAGCCGGTTCGTTAGTTGGTGGTGTCTCGTTGGCGCGGCTCCCTGCAGGGGAATATTGAGGAGTTGATGTGGGCAACGGGGGTTACGGCGGCAGGTGATGGCGAGAGGTTCCGTCGGTGTTTGTTTGGCGCCTCCATCAACGTGATGCTTCGGCTGAGGGTTCTTCCAGCCTATCATAACCTAGGCTGAAGAGGTCTCTCGCTCCGTGCTTTGTTTATGTGGTGTCGCGGGTTGACACGCTAGAGGAAGGGAAGGCTGTCGTGGTGACTAGGATAGTCTTCATGAGATGTTGAGCATGGTAGTGGCCCTGCCCCTGCACGAATCTAGCAGAGGTTGGTTGGGCAGCGCGGGCAGAAAGTAAGGAGCATCTTCTCATCCGGAGTGGGAGGAGAAAGGCTTGTTATAAGCTGGAGCGTCATAAAGAGCTGGCGGGTTTCAGGCGTTCATTTGAGCTGGTTCATCGGTTAAGGACACGGAAGCAGGTAGCAGCGCAATAATGACAGCGGCGATGGCATAGGAGAATTTTGTGCGAACATGTGTGGTGCTGCTGCGCTCTTCGCTTCGGCTACCTTTTCAAATTGTTTTCTCTGATTGTAACTTTGCATCTTCTAATTTCCTATATTCTTACACACTTATAAATTCAGTTTCTCAAATTTTGGAAAAATAAACTCTTAATTCTTATCTTCTATTTTCTGATCAGCTAAATTCTCATCTACATACACACACATACACACAAACATACATATATACAACTACGTATACTCTTAGTCATACACACAAACATACATATATACAACTACGTATACTCTTAGCACAATTCATAGGGATCTGTTCTATGATTACCATACTTGCGGCGCACTGAAGCGGTGCGCGGTGCGGTGCGGTGCGCCGTGCGGAATGCGCAGGGTGACACCGCGCGCGCATGTGGGCGCGCGCAGCGCATGGGGACGCGCTACCCCTGCAAGGTGCGCACTGTGCGCCATGCCTCTTTTCGGCGTCTGTGTGCGTGTGTGTGTGTGTGTGTGTGCGTGTGTGAGAGAGAGAGAGAGAGAGAGAGAGAGAGAGAGAGAGAGAGAGAGAGAGAGAGAGAGAGA